CTCTGTTATTTTCTCCTGATAGAGAACCTACATAGGGACTCTATATGGGCTCTTGGATACTCCATAAAGGAAAAAGGAGCAGTTTTTTCTTAAGACAGTCACAATATTTTTTTAAAAAAATAAGAAGACAGATTTATTAAAGATGCATGCCAAGAAGTACAGTTAACACAAGGAAAAAACAATGGATCAATTCAACGAATAAATGAAAAAAACCAAGATATAATAATGTCATAACTTAAAATTAGGTGCTCTACCCCACTTATGGTTTATACTATATGCTCTTAGTATGTGACTGGTGTGGCAAGTTGCTCAATCAAAAATAGCTTTATGGGTGGAGATTCAGTCAAATGAGAGAAATCCTTTACAATTTATGTCTTGCTTGTGCTTCCAATGTTGCTTTGAGCACAGAATAATTTACCTAACTTCACAGCACAGTCCGACTCACAAACTTTCATCTTAAAGTTACTAGAATTCACCCAATGTAATAACTAATGACTGAACCATCTAGATTTATACAGATGAGAGAGCACTACTGAGAAACATGAGTGCTGATCCGCCTTTTTGTGTATTGATTTGCTGGTTAAAAATAACTTATGTCAATTCCAGACTGCTCAAACACTGAGGTGGATAAGTCAATTACTGGCAGCTTTTGTACTTGCTACTAACAGCTGAAGAGACACTTTTTGCAAACTTTGCAGCCTGATGTAGGTTCTTGATAAACAGCAGGGCAGGCTTGGCTCTGATTTACAACCCATGATTTACCAGCATTTGCTGCAGGTCTCCTACTACTGCAACTTTGCAACAAAAATTATCCTGCAATTACTATATCACAAAAACACTAAATTAATTTACTTGCCGACAAATATGATTACGGCAAACTCTAAGGATTAGAGGATGGTGGTGATGATTATTTTATTTGTACCTTGCCCATCTGACTGGGTTGCCCCAGCCTCTCTGGGTGGCTTAAATATTAAACATTAAAAACATAAAGAAAAATAAACAACTTTCTACCAATATAGAAAAGTTTTCTTGCCTGGTCACCTGGAAGTGATTTATACTCACACTAGGCAACTGGGGAAGGATTTATGAACAAAAGATTATAGAGTGGTTGTCAAGTAGGGGAGCAGAAAGCTGGAGGAGATGTAAATGGTCCATTTTCCCATTGGGGGGTCTTTGAGAGAACCTTAAGTATCAAATCACACTGGTCTAACTATTGTTATGAGAATTTTAAGGTCTTAGATATGTAACAAATGTTCATAACTGTACCAAGCAAACACGTACAGAAATATATAAACAACATGTCTGGAGCAGTAAAGGAATACAGTCCTGAAACCATTTTGACTCCCAAACTGACCAAATGTTCCTCTGCAAGGAGGGAGAGGGTGAGGGAACCTTCCTATTGTCTCAGGAATCAAGTGATTACCATCTCAAAGGAATGGCCAGACTACCAGGAAAGGCAATCAGATAAGGCATTATCAAATAGCCTGGCAGACAGGAGATAAACAAAGCACTCAGATTTCTGTTGTGGACCGCCTTTTCTATGATGTAGGGATGATGTATCTGGGGGGTGGTCTTGGGCTACACCCCTTCTGTATTTATGATGTTTCTGGGGGTGGTCTTGAGCTCCAGGGCAGGGAATTTCAAAATGTCTATATAAGGGGAGGCACGCCTTTGTTCTGGGTCCTCCTCCTGTCCTGCGTGTGAGGGGAGCACCCTGTTGCAACAGTTCAATAAAGATCAGGCTTACGAGCTGCTTTGCTTCTCAGTATTCTCTGGTTGTCCTGTTATTTTCTCCGACCGATGGAGAACGTACAAAGGACTCTATAAGGGCTCTTGTATACCCCATAAGGGAATAAGGGCAGATTTTGTTTACAACACTATTCTAGGTGGCTATGAGGGAATATTGCTAGGTCACCACATGCTCTGGTAAGTAACATGTTATTGGGGCTGGGTATAAAACCTAAAAAAGGGATTCCAAACACAGACCAGGAGCAGTGGGCTATACACCTTGGCATTGCTCTACCATGCTGCCAGTGAGTACAAGGTATGTGTGAGAACTGCAATCAGCATGCCCTTGGAGTGCCAACATGTCCATGTGCATTTGTTTACAGTGTTGCACTGGGATATGTTTGCTGTGCATGTGTATGTTGGCGACTGGCCATGCACGTGTGAGGCAGGGTGTATGTGCATGGTAGATAGTGTGTTGGCAGAATTGGACAGGCGTGAAAACCTCCTTTAAACTATTACTAGTGATTGATATAGCAAGACTTAAAAGAGCATAGCTAGCACATTCCGTAGATGTGGTCAACCATGCATTAAGAACAGGTCAGGGTACGATGTTTCATAAACTCAATGTGAACTAAACATTCTAGGGTGGGTGAGAAAAGAATGTGCAGAAGGAAAACTTCCCATCATAAGCCCCTGCCACCTGTCTCCAAACAGGGTTTGGATGCAGTAGTTTTTGCACCAGCACATCTCTGGTATCTGCACAAAATGGCAGATTTCCACAGTTTATCTATAATGAGAATGGAAAGTCTGAATTACTAAGAATGCCCATTTAATTTACTTTCTGCAGTGTGCCCTGCATTCACAATATTTACAAACAGCAGAGCAAAAACACTAAAAGGCACTTTCTTTAGGATCTCATGTGAAAACAGTGTAAGCTCTTGAAATACAGAGCCCCCTGTGTGTGCCATGATAAAAATCTGCACCCTCTTTGCTTAGCATACATAGGCAATCTCAACTCACCAATCTACAGAAAATCCCAAGGATTACTTCTGGCAATAAATAAAGAGCCAGAAAAGGATCATTCATTAAAAGCAAGTAGGCAGGAAGGCTTCCAGCTAAGTTAATTGACCTTTGAGGGAGAAAATGCAGCTTCCTAAACTGCAAGAAATGATACAACCAATATGTTAAAGAACTAACTGCTTAAGGCACTTTGAGAAACAGTGAAAAACACTCAATGCAGATGAGGCACTGAATTTTCTGGGGGGAAAAATATTTCTGAAGAAAATAAACATTTGACTATAGAAGAATTCTGATCTGAGAAAGAACAGGGGCTAGCATAACCAACCAACCAACCAACCAACCTCCTTTATTGGTATAAAAAAGTGCATCATATACATGGACCAGAACACAGCACAGTTAACAAAACATAGTAGGAGATACTTTAGGATAAAACTGGCCAGACATCATGAGGAAATTTCATAGCATCGCTCAAAAATCATGTCACATTCTCCACAATGTCATTACTACAATTGTTCAGCAGATGAGACACTCTGGAAGAATCAGTGCAATAAATCCCATCCTTCAATAAGAGGGCCAAAAATATATTTTTGCATAAAATGGACAATAAAATAAAACAAAACGTGTGTGATGGTTTTGACTTGTTTTGTGCCACAACGGCAGTATCTTTCAGATTATGGGATTTTCAAGAATCTACCTTGCAAAACTGCAGATGGTAAAAGATTAAATATTGCGAGGGAAAGAGCTCTGTGTAGGTGGGGATCATAAAGCTGGTGTAAATATGGAGTGTCCTGGCCAAATGAGGGTGGAATTCCCAACCCCAATAGGGAACAGGTTTTGTTGGCTGCACTGCAAAGGGTTTGGAATTCAACATCTAGGATTCTGCGCTTGATTGTCTGAAATGCTTCCAATTGTGGGAGCATAAGCGGTGACTCGAGTGATAGGCCACAGGTTCTGATTTTGCTCTCAATGCAAGGGCTAGCATAACATAAAAATGGACTTGATCTCAACCATTTTTTGAGGACCAAACTAGATGTTTCATGACTGGAATTTCCAGCATCTATTTATTTCTCAAAAAACACCTGCAAGGCTGGGATTTAGATTAAAGCTATGATGAAGCAGAAGTCTAATACATCTTGGAAAAGAGGGAACTAACCACAACTTGGATGATTTAGCTATTGTGCAAATAATTTGTATGCTTGTTGTAACATGGAAAATGAAAAAGTGTGTCTATTGTCATGTCTCGGGCATCCAGGTTGGCCACACCTACACAGCCACTTCATGTACAAAGACACTTGTGAGAACTGCTGCTAGAGGAAATTGCTGCTGATCTTTATACACCCTTATACTGGTCAATGTGTGTGATGGGTTGCCTATAAAAATGAGCCTGGACTGGAGCCAGATCAGAGCACCAAGGAAGTGGACAAGCACACACAGAAAGCATAAAGAAAACCTGCAAGTACCACCATGAGTATTTGACTCTGCTCTCTGCAAAACCAAACAGCAGACATGACCTTGATTGTCTGGAGACTTGATTCATCTTTGTTCTCTTCCACTAGGGTATAGGGACTGACCACCTGTCTAAACCAGAGGGACAGCACATGACCAACATACGGGAGAGGGGAAATCCTTTGTGTGCGCTTTTATTATCTGCTTATTAACAGGGACACAGGTGGCACTGTGGTCCTAACCACTGATCCTCTTGGGCTTGCTGATCAGAAGGTTGGTATTTTGAATCCGCTCAATGGTGGTCCATTGCTCTGTCCCAGCTTCTGCCAACCCAGCAGTTTGAAAGCACTCCAGTGCAAGTAGATAAATAGGTATTGCTGCAGCGGAAAGGTAAAACGATGTTTCTGTGCGCTCAGCCACTTGTCACAGTGTCCCGTTGTGCCAGAAACAGTTTAGTCATGTTGGCCACATGACCCGGAAAGCTGTCTGTGGACAAATGCCGGCCCTCTCGACCTGAAAAGTGAGATGAGCGCTGCACCCCATAGTCGCCTTTGACGGGACTTAACCATCCAAGGGTCCTTTACCTTTACCTATCTGCTTATTGCTAAAATGTTGTGGTATTCTGCTTAAAGAGATTAAGTCATGAATTGATCTAGTTTGGCATAGCATTGTCTTCATTCAGATGGAATTTAAACAAACCTGTGACTACTTTTAATTGACCTAAAATGGAAATACAATGCTACATTTTAAACAAACTGTAATTAAAATCCAGTCTACATCTGACACTACTTTTTAACCGGATTTACCTCTTTTAAGTCGTGCACAATCGCCGTCAGTCGTTCATTCTCTGCCTGAACGTTGGTAACAACAGCCCTACTTTGTTTCAATTCATTCTGCATTTCCAAAATCTTCCCTAGGTAATAGGCTTCCTTGGATGCAGACTCCTGGAGGAGTGTCTCCTCACGTGTCTCACCATCTTCAGCTACTTTGCGGTGTACGGAGAATGACTGTCCAAATGCCTGCAAGAGTAAAAAAAAAGGACTATTGAAATGAAAAAATATAAATATGTCATTAGGGATGTGCTGTATAATTTGAGAGACTAACTGTCACTATATAAAATGCTACTGTCATTAGAAATGAGGAAAAAATCTGAATATTCGTAGAAGTTAGAATGCTGGATTAGTGCTGGTCAGACTCAGGTTCAAATCTGCACTCAGCTATGAAGCTCACTTGATAACACTGGCCTAGTCCCTATCTCTTAGCCTAGCCTATCTCCCACCTTGTAAGGAAGGGTAAGACATAAACCACATAAATGATCAATAGCAGAAGCTAAGCAAAAGATATCCCATACAAATCAGTGTGATCAATTAATTACAGATTGAAAATATGTATGTTTCTTAAACAGGTGTAAGAGATTCCCCAAGCAAACACTATTAACTGAATAACTGCAAAACAGATTTTTCATAAACAATAATAACAATGAAAACAATTAAAATATATCACAGCTGCAGAACTAGATTACACCAAGCTGGAAACTAAGTTCTGGATATCTTACAAAAATCAGGTCAATTCTCTTTGAAACATGCCCCTCTACAACACTTAAACAAACGTCATATGGTTTGAACACACACACACACACATATTCATAAATATGTTTTTCACCTACATATGTGATGGGTGGAAAGCAATGTTGTAATAGTAGTAGTAAACATTAAACATTTAAAAAACTTCCCTATACAGGATTGCTTTCAGACAGCTCAAGGGTTGGATAACGCCATAATCTCCAACATTTCTCCAATGAAAATAGGAACATCCTAAGGAAAAGCGGGATATTCTGGGATCAAATCAGAAACTGCAACTGCTTCTCTAAATTAGGGGTGTCCCTGGAAAATAGGGACACTTGGTGGGTCTGCTGTTGGTATTTCCAGAAGACACTTGAGTGTTAAAACTAACTTACTAAGATTGTTAAATTTCAACACAACTGGGACTTTTAATGTTGATTTCAATACTCCCAAGTTGTTCATCCACAGCAGTGACCAGAGGAGGAATGTGTAGTGCCAGGGAAGAGGCACCAGATGGTGGTGCTCCTGTTTAAACTTAACTGTTATTCTTAGGCATTAATCTTATGTGCTATGATCTACGCATAGCCAGCATAAAGTAATGGCTTAGCCAGCGGCAGAGATAAGAAGCATGAGAACAAAGGAACTAGCTCACTTCAAAGACAGCTTTTGGCTGAACTCTGAATGACATCACTAACATCTGTATCAAAGACTATGTAATCTTGCCAGAGGGCCTCTGCAGACACTATACAGTGGTGCCCCGCAAGACGAATGCCTCGCAAGACGGAAAACTCGCTAGACGAAAGGGTTTTCCGTTTTGGAGGTGCTTCGCAAAACGAATTTCCTATGGGCTTGCTTCGCAAGACGACAATGTCTTGCGAGTTCCTGCTGGTTTTTTTCCTTCCCCCCCTTTTTCTAAGCCGCTAAGCCGCTTATCAGCTGATCCGATCAGCAGATAAGCCGCTAAAAGCCGCTAATAGAGCTAATAGCGCTAATCCGCTAATCCTTCAATGGGCTTGCTTCGCAAGACGAAAAAACCGCTAGACGAAGAGAATCACAGAACGGATTCTTTTCATCTTGCGGGGCACCACTGTATAAGGCCCCAGCTCCAGCAATTCAATGGTACTTCGGCCATGGGCTTTCCAGGAGCGCCTGGCACCTCACACTGGCCTGATAAGGGGTGCCATCAGCCGTTGTAGTTAGGGTCCCCCATGGCAGGAATGACACATGGCTGAGCTAGCTTTGCAACTTTATCTTTAAGTATTCCGTTATATCCTTTAATTATCTTTACTTTGTATATCAGCACCTGTTTCTGTGCTTATTATTTTAGTAATTAATAAAGTTTGCTTCTGCTATTTAAAAGTTTGTTGTCCTCCATTTACGGACGCGGGTGGCGCTGTGGGTAAAACCTCAGCGCCTAGGACTTGCCGATCGTCAGGTTGGCGGTTCGAATCCCCGCGGTGGGGTGCGCTCCCGTTGCTTGGTCCCAGCACCTGCCAACCTAGCAGTTCAAAAGCACCCCCGGGTGCAAGTAGATAAATAAGGACCGCTCACTAGCGGGAAGATAAACGGCGTTTCCGTGTGCTGCGCTGGATCGCCAGATGCAGATTGTCACGCTGGCCACGTGACCCGGAAGTGTCTGCGGACAGGCCTCTGTGTCCTGGCCTCTAGAGTGAGATGAGCGCACAACCCTAGAGTCTGTCAAGACTGGCCCGTACGGGCAGGGGTACCTTTAGCTTTACCTGTCCTCCATTTACTGAGAATCGAAAGAACCTGATGCTTAGTGGTTGCTCCTGACCAGGTTGCTCCTAGGTAATTATTGAGCAGACAGGACAGAATGATCCCTGGGAGAATACCTTCATCTGCCCCAGCTACAACAGTATCTCCCATATTGGTCTCTACAGCCACAGCAGGCACTGTATTCTTCCAACTGCTTGACTTCACCTCCAAAGGTGAACTCCTCCATTGTCTCCCAGACAGATGGATGTCAACAAGCTATGAATGTTTGTAACTGGGCACCTTAATATCAAGTACAGAGCTGGGTCTTTATTGACCGAAACACTGTTAAGATGCACCTCAGTTAATTAATCCCTAGACACACTGTGGTGACATCCCAGTTCTGTATTGTCTGATAGCTTTGCATGATGCCAGTCTGCCAGCAATAGTAGCTGTCGCTTCTGTAGCAGTGCCAACACAAGTGCAAAGTCCTAATAAGGCTTGTGACACAAGTAAGACACCGCAGAACACCACCACAGCATCTTACCCTACATTTATTTAATGGTGCAGTAGCTCATATGAGTAGGTTTACAGACAATATGCTGAGTAATTCTCTTAATTTTAATCAATATAATTAAGCTACTATATCTACCTCCCAGGCTGCTGGGTTGTCCCTGCAATGGTGCTGTTGCAGCATGTTCTCCCGCAATGTGCTGGTACCATAGTCACCAGCTTTCTAGCCTAAGTACAACAGCTGAGTGACCGGATGGATTTAACTGGTTGACAGCTATGAATAATAAATGATTTTACTGTTTCACAAAAAATATACATTCAAGTCACAACTTAGTGAGTTCCTGTTACACGTGCTTAAAAAAAATATCCCTGTACTTTTTCCTGCTGCTTGATATATAGCATAATGAAAACTGTACCAAGGATGAGTTAAAGAGAAATGAAAGTGAATATATCATTTTTCCTTTAAACACTAGTTTTAATGCATATTGCCTTTTGAATATGTAACTACTAGAGTACCACTGAACTGCTAGAGTGGCTTTTTCTTCGTGTCTGCCAAATACCTCTCAATAATGCTAGAGATTATGCATGCACACATATCAAGGGTATAAGAAATATCCATATTCTGAGAGCATAACAATATTCATGCAAAAGAGCTGGATTTTTGCCAAACAGTTAAACTATTAACTATTAGCATGCAAAGGTTTAATGGGGAAACATGTCCTTACATTTATGATCAAATCGCTAAAGGAAGTTTTATGTGAAAGTTAGAAAAGAGAATTGGCAGAGGAAAGAAGGCTACAAAAATAACATTAATGTTTCTAAATATTATGAATAAAGTAAAATTGTTCTTTATTTGAAAGTCCAACATATAAATCTTCACTGTTCACATTTCAATATTGTCTTAAAGTAGACCTCTGTTCAAAATGTCACATTGCCATAGATCACACAACATGCTAGACCATGGTTTGTTTATCCAAAGTGTATACCACCATATCATAAAACAGCAAGGCAGTACAGAACAATAAGCATGCAATAAAACATAATACGCTATTAAAACACAGTACAAAATAATCTTTAAAATAAATGGACAATCAAGAACTGGCTAGGCCTTTTGGCATAAAAATTAATTCAAAGGACATGTGAATGTCAAAAGCGAGCATGTCTGATGGAAGAGTACGCCACAGTATGGGACCATTGACATAGTTGGCCTCTAACATGGGGGGAAACTAGCACTAGTGCTCTGGATGACCTCGGTGCCTGAGTTGGGATACTAGGACTCAGGCAATCCTTAAAGTATACTGGATCCAAATTGTTTGGGGCTTTTCATATCAACACAAGAGCTTTAAACTTGGTCCAGCAGCATAAGGGCAGCAAAGGTGTCACAAGCTGTCAGTCATCTGCCCCCCATCAGAAGTCTACTCTCTGAATTCAGCACAATCTGGAATGCCCAAAGCAGCCCCAAGGCAAGTGTCACATAGAGAGCATAGCAGTATTCCAGTCTTGAGCTTACCAACACAGGTTACCAAAACTATAACAGATAACTCTATCTGGGATTCATGCCAATATATTCTAAAAGGCATGGGAAGCATTTGAATGACATATCTGGCTTCCCAGAATGGCTGTTATTAAGGGAAAGAAAGTATCTACCTTTGTGACAAACAGAAATTCTTATATTCTGCTGGGAACAAATCTATTAGTCCAAGATGAGTTATAGATTTTCTTTTCATAGCAAAATATCCTCCTAGTATGTAAGAGAAATAGATGGTTGGACTACAAATACAACATAGCATGATAAATGCAAACTTTAACAAAGCACAGAAAAGCCATTCAAGCTGCTCACCAGATAATGCTCATATCCAACAATGAGCTTCTCAATGACCTGGTTTGTATGCAACAATAGGTCAAATAATGGCTTATTGCAGAAGTAGGAAATATGATCTAGCCAGCAGGTCAGGTCATTATCTCCCATGAGCCAAATTTGACAGGAAGTGGGGCTTTGACACAATGATGTTAAATCTGACACAGTGGTGTCAAATCTGACACAGTGATGTCAGGACTTCAAAGCATCACACGCAGCTTGCAAGAGCCCCTTGTGGTGCTTTTAAGTGCCACTTGTTGTCAAACCCTGGCTCCTGGCTTGTCTTCCTTCAGACAAACTACAAGCTCTAGCCAAGCTTTGTTCTATAACTTAGCAAAAAGTAGTAGGCAAGCCATGAGCCTACTTTCTCCTT